CGATGGCAGGGAATGCAGCATGCAGTGAACACGTCAGCACTTGTGGCTGGGTGCCTTTACTAGGTTAGTGCACATGCTGTGACCGGGGCCATGGTGCAGCAGGCGATAGTGTTGCTTAAGATGCAGTTCCACAATTTGGTCTGGGGGGTGGCTAATCCCTCCAGTACAGTCTGGACAGAGTATGCCACACCATTGTGATGTGCTGTACTGTGTTTACTTGAAGCAGGCAAGGAGGCGATGTGCTGGACTCTGAGGAAGTGGGAGAGTGGGGGCAGTTTTCGAGGATAATGTGGAGGAGGAGACTCTCCTTGTGCATACCAAAGCTGAGCTACATCAGACAGCACAAACTGGGCAGGACCCGATTGATACCCAATTCCAGTGAATGATAGCTGTTTATAGCAGACCATCATGGACTGTCAAATATTCATTGGTCATGAGGCATTGTGGGGGTGCCTCTGTTCATTTTGTTTGAGTTTGCTTTTGCTGGGTATAAATAGAAGCTCACTGTGGGAATGTTCCAATTGCCTGCCTGTGTGTGTCGTTTCTCTACTGGATAATGACAACCTCTAGGTGTTCACTGGACACTGGGGACACAGTATTGGTCACTTAGAGAAGTTGTTTGCATGGGATCTTTCTAAGGAAAGGTACACCTTGCGGTTAAACACCATCTAGGGAAAGAGAATGGGTTCTGTAGGTGAGGAATTGTCCTGCCATGTACTTTATGCTGTGAGCAGCATTGATTTATGCCTGCTGCACCATTGCATTGCTAGTGAGGTGCAATGCCAGATTGCCAGTACTTATCTGGCTGCACAGCAACCTTTTAAAGATGGTGCGGACACAAGGGATTCCAGTCTTTCAGAGGATAATGGTAAGTGGTGTGTTGTTTTGGGAAAAGTGGAATCAGGTGAATGTGACACCACAGGGAAGAGCAGGTAGTTAATGAGGCGAGTGTAGTAAGATACAGCAAAAGAGCTCACTGGGCCTTGTGGCAAAAAAAATCCAAAAAAACTTGATGAAACTTAGACTTAGTCAAATAAACGTTAAGATTCTGTCCACCGTTGTGTTGCCTCATGACACTAAAAATGCTGCATCTAGTTACGTTCAGACATAATCATGTTCTGTCAAGTGTTCAGAAACAATCACGTTGCTTTGATACATTAACCAGTTGCATCATGAACAAAAACAGAAGTTGCTGAAAAAGCTCAGAAGGTCTGGCAACATTTGTGAAGGAAAAATCAGAGTTAACATTTTGGGTTCGGTGACCCTTCCTCAGAATAGCCGCATCATGTAGTGTTGAGACCCTGCTGTGTTGAGTCAAGATTATTGACCTGGAATAGTCCTGAGCCAACTAAAATGCTACTTAAATCAGACAATACTCTTCTATTATTTAAGCTGGCTAGACGATAGAAATGAAAAGTGGGCCATAATGATGGGAAAGTTCAATAATCACTTCACCATCAAGAAAAAAGTAATTTATCGAAGGGCTAAATGAAAGCAGCAAGTGGCATTGCTTAAAACAGATGATTCACCATAAGCACAGCAAACTGCAACGACCTTTCAATATGAAAAGGGAATGCTCCCAGTGGATTGGAAAACTGCAAATTGTAACACTGCTATTCAAGAAACGAGGAAAAGGTAGTCCAGTTCGCCAAACATCCATCATTGAGAAAAAGCCGAAATCCATTATCATGGAAGTAATAGGAAACGATTTAAAAAATGATAATATCATCAAATACAGTCAGCATGATTATTTGGAAGGGAATTATATTTAACAAAATTTATTAAAGTTCTTTGAGCATGTATTAAGTAAGGCAGATAAAGGGAAAATGCTTCAGATGGTATTTGGATTTTCAAAACACTATTGATTAGCTACCACATGAAAGTCTACCCCACAAGTTAAGAGCTTGTGATGTCGGAGTGATAAATTAGCATGAATTGATAATTAGCTAACAGTGTCAGGATAAATGGGTAATTTTTAACTTGATAAACTGTAACCAGTTGGAGTTCCAACAGGGTAGATTTCTGTAGCCTCCACTACTTACATTTCATATTAATGACTTGGATGAAGGTACTGACTGACCGTTGAAAGTAAAATAGACTGTATAGGCAAAAGGAAGGACTAAAAGGGGAAAAAAAAACAGACTCTGCAGGTTTACTGATAATTACAAAGTACACAATAACAGTTCAAGTTGTGAACATGTAATGATATGATTGGATAATATGATCCCATGCAATTGTTTGAATGCGATTGGATGATATAATCATGTGTACTAAGTTGGTATGTGAACTATGCAAATACAATTAGGTGGAGATAGGGTGAGTAAGTGTATAACCTGTGATGGAAGCTTGTTATCTCTCAAAACAGCGTAATTTTCATGAAGTGTACATCTTCCATGCATGCAAGAATAAACATTTTAACAAATAAACCTGAGCCTTGTCTGGTCTAAGAAGACATAAAGGGTAAATCTTACCCTTTCACTGTATAGTGGCTGTTATGTGTTCATTGGTTTGCTATATATTTGATATAGGATTTACTCCAGAACAAGTAGTTCACAGAATTTATGTTCGTTTTAAGTCTATAACAAGTTTATTTATATTGCTTTAAAATATTTCAACAATCATAAGATGTTTACACATGATCACAGATCTGGCTTCTCAGGTCTTTCTAGAAGCTTCCATAAACTTTAGCCCTCAGAATCCTAGGCTAGGCATAATTAATAAAACACAGTGAACACTGATCATACAAATACTAATACAATCAAACACAGATCAATTAAACCATTGAATACTACAGTAACAAAAATAGACAGGAAAGCAAATTGGGGGATGATAGATAAAAGTCTGTGAAGAGATGTAGATGGGGCAAGTGAGTGGGCAAAACTTTTGGCAGATGTATTATACGTGAATGTAAAGTTGCCCCCCCCCGCATTATGACAAGAAAATTGAAAAGCAGAATATTTTTTAAAAAGAAAGAGCCGGAAACTGCAGTACAGAGGATTTGAGTACACTTGTCAGTGTGTAAGTGGAGCAAGTAATTAGGAAGGCAAATGGATTGTTGGCCTTTATTGCACAGGTGATAGAGGATAAAAGTAGCAAAATTTTACTTTAACTGTATGGTGAGACTACATCTAGCTATTGTGTACAGTTTTGATCTGCTTATGTACTTGAATAGGAAAGTGTTAAGAGCTGGTTTGTTAAGATTTTTCACAGAATTAAAAGTGTTGACTTATGAAGAAAGGTTGGGTAGTCTGGGCCTACACGTTGATTTTAGAAGAATGAGATTGAAACATAAAATACTGTATCCTGAGAGAACTTGACAAGATTGAAATGAAAGAATATTTTCCCTTGTTAAGAATCTATAACTAAGACATACAGTTTAAAATTAAGAGGCTTCCAATTTAAAACTTCACAAGGAAAAATTCTTCTCTCAGAGAGTCACTCACATTTGGAGTTCCCTTCCCTAAACAGCAGTGGAGACTGGGTCATTGAATATATTCAAGGCCGAGTTAGACATATTTTTCTTGTAAAGGGACTCAGGCACTATGAGATCCTGATGGCAAAGTGGAGTTAAGGCCACATTCCAAGCAGTCATGATCTCATTGAATGATGGAGTAGGCAGAGGGCACTTCTGCTCTTATTTCATTTGTTCCAATGCATTTTGGAAATTCAAATATATTGTGTCTACTGGCTTCCCTAATTTCTCCAAACTTTCTGTTTGTGAAATCCAATTTGTAAATGACCTGCAACAAACTCTCTTTAGGGCTAAATCAAAAGTATGGTCGGTCATGCATTCCAATCAAGGGGATGATTGTTTCAACACACATCCCCACACACACAGATACGCATGCACAGACACACTTACAGACAGGCTGATACAATGTGCACACAAAGGAAAAAAAGAAGGAACGGAAAGGAATTCCAATTAAGAATTACTTTGAAAACAAAACAAATATATGACATCAATTTATACGATTTTTGCCTGAATCCAGAAATTCAGTGTCCAGTGAAGATTCATTTCTGCAGCAGCCTGGATTCAAATGAATGCAGTTGGCTGAAGTTTTAGAATTCCTTTTAAAGTTGATGAAGGCCAGAAATATGATGTTAGGGGACCTAGACTTTGTCAACTTTTCAGGCATATTCGCAGTTTCTTCTGGAACTGGGTGTCATTGCTGAGACTGGAGTTTAGTTGTGGTCTCACCATTTAGATTGTTAGCAAACTATGACGCTGTCAGTAAACTAAATTTTTAGCATATTGAGGTGAGTGTTCATAAATATATACAGTCGGTTCTGCTATAGCGCGATAGTTGCGTTCCTGAGCAACATTGTGTTATAGAAAATCATGCTACAGAAATAACAGGGCCTATGGGAAGAGTGGGGCTGGGGTTGGGGTTGGGGTTAACCACCAAAAAACATTACTCAAAAAATCACTGAAAAGCACAGACTGAATAAATATTTAATTCATATCTAATAATTAAATTAAAGTAAATTTAACACCTTATCTTGAAAAAAATGTCAAGATGATTTGATGGGGGAGGAGGTTTTGAGGTTGCTGTGTTGTTAATGCAGGGATCGAGGGTCATCATCATCATCACCTTCAGGTGCAGTTATGGTTACAGGGTTAGGGTGAAAAATAGTTAATCCAGAAGTGGATGGCTGTGGTTCATTGTCTTCTGACTGTTTTTTTGGGGGTGAGCTTAAAAATGACATCCAGTTTTTGCTGCTTTGCCCTTTTTCTTCTTTCATGATCTTCTTCCACGACCTGCTACCCTGCTGCATTCTGTAATCTACATTTTAATCATCATCCTCTAAGAGCAACAACTGCTTCTCAATGTCCCTCAGGATAGAAGATAAAACAGAAGTGAAAAGCTCTTGTGGTGCCGCAATCTGGACTTCATATTCTTCATCTCCAGCTTCCACTTCCCCCTCAGGGACAAGTTGTTGTAGATCAACTGTGGAGAGGTTTTCACAGAAGGACTCAAGCAGCTCTTCAACATCCTCACTCTCCACTTCTTCAAATCCAATTTGATCTAAGTTGAAGCGTTCTTTGTCAATTAATTTTTTCACTTTGGGAGGAAATGCCATTGCATGCTTCTCGTCTGCACTGAAAAGCATAGTGGTTCTTAAAACAAGCAAACCAGCCACTGCTACCACTAAAGGCAGGCACATCTGCAGGATTTTCAGCTTTTTTTGTCAGATCTTCATAAATTGATAAAGCTTTTCTATGTGCTTAGAAGCCGTTCCATCTTCTCATTTACCTTTGTCTGTGACTTCATAGATTTGCTAGCACTCAGACTTGTTCCAGCAATACAGCTTGCTTTAATCTTTTCTGCATTGTCTCTTTATTCCTTTACATGAACTATATCACATGTTCTCTCATTACGCTCAAAACACTTTATAACATCTAGCTTCTCTTCCAGTGTTATAGCCTTTCTTTTACGTTCGCTACCTATAATTTTATCACCAGGATATTAACATTTTTGTCACTTTGTCCTCACATTTTTGTGGGTAACACAACAGAATTTGCAAACAAAAACCGAAAATCACAGAATACCGTACCTCTCGCAGAAAGCGCTTCACCATAAAGTCTGCAAAATGATCATGTGATGCAGGCATGGAGACTCTTTCAGCGCTAACATTGCACATGCTTAGGACAAAGCTCATGAAACAATCATGTGGCGTTGATGCATACTCCTCCGCATACTGATGGAATCGCGTTATAGCCAACACAAGTTCTCGTTTTAGAAACAGCATTCCCCTATTTGTCAATCACGTCATAGTCAATTCACATTGCTGGAACACGCGTAATAGCAGAACCAACTGTAATTAAAGAATTTTTCAAAGAACAGAGGAGTTTTGGTCATGTAATGAATTGATTCAATTGAGTTCCAATTTAACTCAAGGATGTACATATTAAGTAAATAGGATTTCTATCCTTATAGCCAAAGATCGAGTACTCACCTTAGGAGGTAAAAAGAGTGATGTGAATTTCCACATGTATAATGGATCATATATCTATGCACCTGGTCAAAACTCATTGCTCACTGCATTAGATTGATGGTGGGCAACTGGCAACATTGTGGGCATAATGAGTTGTGATAACTCATCCCGATTACCAATGTCTTTTTGAGTTAGTTGACTGCAAAGTCCACATATGCAATGGTCTAACATTCCAGGAGGGAGAAAGCTGACCTCTGCTCTGGTAACTACTGATTCAAGCTTTCCAGAAATTATAGTCCACTTACTTCATGTGATCAGTGAAAGCTATGTTTTAGTCCAACAAAGTGTGTTTTAAAATGCAAGCAATAAAGTATAGCTTTTAATACAATCTATGATCTCTGTCCCTGTCTTGAGGACATAAAATCTATCCTACTAGTTACATCCTCAAAGAACTCTAATAAAAATAAACCATTTTACACCTTCAACATTCACTTCCTCCACCAGCAATGCACAGTGGCAGCACTATGTGCCATCTACAAGAGGCACTGCAACAATTCAACAACTACTTTGTTGTTGTTTCATTGTCCTGCGTCAAAACCTGAAACTTGCTTTCTAATAGCATTATGGATGCACCTACCCATCCACGATTGCACTGCTTTAAGAAGGAGGCTTATCAATGATCCTCCTAATGGCTATCAGGGATGTGGTACAGTGATAGTGTCTCTGCTTCTAGACCTTGGAGACTAAGGTTCAAGTCTTACTTGCTCCAGAGGTACATAATAACATCTTCAAGCAGGTTGATTTGAAAAATATGTTAAATTCTGGCTAACCAGCAGTGCTGACATCTATGAATTATTAAAAAGAAATGATAAATTTGCTTTTGTGAAACCATGTTGACTTTGCCTAATCATACTGCACTAAGTCCATTTTAAAACCTACTTAATAATAGATTCCAGATTTTCCTAACAATTGTTGTCAGATCTCTCCATCCTTTCTTGAATGAGTGTGACATTTCTCAACTTTTAAATCAATTGGACCATTCTAGAATTAGGAAATTTCAGAAAATTGTACTAAGTATGTACAGCAAAATAAATTAGGGTTGAGATAGATAGATTTTTGCTCTCTAAGGAAGTTGAGAGAAATTGAGATCAGATCAAGGATCAGCCATGATCTTATTAATTGACAGAACAGGGTCAAAGCATAGACACTCCATTCTTGCTCCTATTTCTTATGCTCTCATTTTGTATATGGACCATATATCTCCTAATGTACAAGTGCCTCTAGTTTTATACTACTTAAAAACTATGTGGATTTATCTTTTTTGTCCCAAACAGATCATTCACACATACGTATATAGATATCCATCTGCCAGAGTTTTGCAAGCTCAATTAATCTAAAAATAACTTTTTAATAATTTGTGGTTCCTCAAATACTTCCTACTACATCTTTGTATTTTCAGCAAACCTGGATATGGGACATTCTACTACGCTATCTTATCAATAATTCAGGCACAAGTTCAGATCCTTGTGGGAAACATGGTCATTTCCATCAGGTTAAAGTACATACAGGTTATCCCCCGTTTCTATCTTCTACCACCTGACCAATCATCTAACCAGGTCAATAACTTGATTTCAAGTTTATGAGCTCTAATGTTAGCTGACTGTCCAGTCTGTAGAGTAGTACATTTGTCACAAAGGCCTAAATTTTACCTGCTGTTAAATGGTTGCTATTTAAAATAGGTACTTAAATGGAATGGATACTTTGTTATTCCAATTTGACCAAGTATTATTTCAAACTGCAGGCAACAATATTGTCCAGTCTAGCCTTTGGAGACTGACTGATTTTAACATGATTTTAACATGAAGCCTGAACAGGAAAAAAAGGAAGGTTTCCTTCATCAAGTTAAAACAGCCAGGAATTGCAGTCTGGCTTAGAAGTGGGCCAGGAAGGCATATGTTATTGATTTTTTTTCTGTCTCTTTGGGTGCCATGAAGGACAGGAGTTCTACTCTGAATCCCACAAGGAATCATTGGGCATTCCTTGCTCCAAGCTTATCTCCATCCCCTACTGGAAACAGCCTCATGAAAGCTTTTATAATTGGGTTGGAAGCATTATGGCCAGCACTTCCCAATTTTCACGAAGCTTCACATTTCCTCCACTTCTCCTATTGCTGTTCTTTGAGATGCACTCACCAAACCTTTTTGCTATCTTAAAAAATAGGTCTCCATTTCTCCACTCGTCACCATTCCTCCACTCCCCCTTTTCTTCTTTTTAAAAATTGTGCTGCAATGGAATATAGGATGTAATATTGCACAAACCAAAAATTCAAATTGAAACAAATTCTTATCTAGAATTCTCATCTGCGGGATGTTAGAACATTTATTTTCTTTTGTGGAGCTTTATATATTTATGTAAATAATGGGGAGCTACTAAAATCTATTTCAAAGTGTAATAATCCTTACCATTTTTGTCTGCTCGCCGTAAAATCTGAAATAAATCAGAGATTGATAAAAGTTGCGTTAGTTTCACACCCAGAAGAAAAAGCCTTGGTGAAGTAACACAATATTCAGAAGCTGTCAGCTTAGGTTTATTTTCTTGCCAATATTCATGAGATGAGACTCATAATGTTATTCATAGTTCTTGCAAATGAATCATCTGTTTCAATTTATCTAAAATGGGTAATATCTCAATGTTTTAGCTTATTACAGGTTAAAAATTTAAGAAGTTGGACAGAGATATAATTGAATGAAGAAATTTGATGTTTTTATTTATACTGTTCAACATTTTAACATAATTTAATGGAATTAGTTTGCTCTCTGTAATCTTTGGCAGACAAATAGTCAACTGAGAAGATACATTTTGAGAATGCTTCTTCAACTTTAAAAAAATAACTGTTCTTTTTCTAATAAACTCAAAAACACTACTGCATATGATTTAATCTTCAAAATTAGATATAATAATTGAGAAATCAGCATGCTGGTATATCTGTTGTAAAATGAATACTGGGTATTTTGTAGCCCCACATGGGAGTTAAGTGCTCTTTTATGTAATTTCTTTAAGAAAATTGTGTGAAAATTTATGTTTTGATAACAATATTGTAACTTGTATTTACATAACACCATTACTGTCAACTTGTATTTACATAACACCATTACTGTCCTCAGTACTTTATTCGTACAGTTTAAATTAATGTAATAATCCCCTTGTTCTGTATCTTTAACCATTTCATATATTCTGAGGGGTCTTCCATATATGAACAGAAAGGCTCAAGAGGCCTAAATTCATGATGGACCTGAAACAGGGGAAATTTTGCTTACATGCTCTGGTGTCCTGTGAAGTGGACTTGGAGATCATGTCTCCATACTTGATTAATATGAAATAGTTGAACTGTCTCCACTAATCACAGGTATGGGAAATTTTTCTAAAAGGGGGCTGGAAATGAATGTCACAGATGTCAATTAAAGGCAAAACCTTCTAAAGTGGTATGTAGTGGCAATGGTGGAGACTGTTACAGTTACAACAATTAAAAGGCTCTGGATCAGTATATGAATAGGAAACGTTTAGAGGGATATGGGCCAAATGCTGGCAAATGGGACTAGCTCAGATTGGGGTGTCTGGTCGGCATGGACAAGTTAGACTGAGGGTCTGTTTCTGTGCTGTATGACTTGAACACTGACAGACCATCAGTTGAATCCAGTTGGAATAACAGGCAGAAGGCCAACTGGCTTTTCAGATGTGGTTTTGGAAGTGGTGGAGGAGGTCACCTAGAGGTGGGATCTCACCTTTTCACCCAGTTAGTTATGCAGAAACAACGGGCATTTTATGAATCAGTAGCAGAAGTACCTGGCTGCAGTGCTTGAACAACTTTCATGGTCTAACAATGGCTACTATTGGCCACATGCTTCTTGACTGCCAATACAATGACTGCCTATTTGAAGTTAAGATCCATCAAATTTGGTTTCTTTGTTAACAAATTGAGCAAACTGACCTCTTAATTAATCAGGCTTATTTTAATATTGAACACGTGCTCCTGTTAGCCGTCAAGTGGAGTTTTAGGACTAAGTATAGTGATGGCGCTTGTATATTTGCAAATTTCACGCCAGAAAGTGCTTTTATGGTTCGTGTCAAATTTGCTTCTTCTAGTTTTTCCTTCGGAATACGAATTAGAAAGAAACTTATCCTAATTATATAGAATTAGCAACACAGAAACAAGCCCAAAACTATTGCTTTAACGTGAATATACTTTTAATTATTTTCCAAATGTTTGTTTTATATGTGTGTGTGTATCGGGGAGGCGAGTATGTATTTACTTTGCTCATGTTTGAATCTATGTAAGAAGAGACGAGGATCACACAAGATTACATCTAATCGGGTTGGATCCTTCGATTCTAAATCGGGGCACTCTGCCAAACGATAGCACTCAAAGTCTGCAACTCCCTCTCTTACATCCTACAGATCATTTCAGTTGAAATCATTTTGCCTCAACTGTAATTCTTAAAAAGCAGAACTACAGCTTTAATGTCGCTTTTTTTTTGAAAATGCAATTAAACGCTCAAAATATACACTGAAATTAACATATAGACAGATCCAAGTGCAAGCAAAGAAGCAAAACAAATCCAAAGACCTTTCCAATTATTTACTATTCCCAGCAATAGAAAACGACACCACCACATAATTGAAGTGTCCCTTTATCACTTCACTGACTCCAAGGGATCTATTCAGAGCATTCATTGTTTAAAAATCTGTTTCTTTCCGCGTTTTTCATTTTGCTTCTTCATCTGCTCGCTCGACTATTAGGAGTTGTTTAAATTGCA